AAATCTCATAAAATCAAGTTTTCTTATTTGATGTGTAACGAAAAAAGCCGCCAAAAATTATCTTAAGAAAATGATTATTTTGAAAAATCATTTTTCATACTTAGTCAATATTGCACCTCCGCTAAAAAAATTCTGGGTCTGCCAATGTCTATAAATATCAATCAATACTCTTTACTTTTAACACCAAATCCTCATACTTTTTTTTCTTTCTATGCCAACCAATACAAGTAATAACATAAAATTTTATCCAAAAATATTATCTAAATTAATTGTTTAAGTAAACAAAGTTGTGATGTAAATTATTTGTAATTTTTAAAAAAAATGAATAGTATTTGCCATGGCAAAGGGCAACTGCTGGAAACATACATTGCTTTTTGCATTTTGAAATGTATCTGAAATTTGAAATTTGAAATTTGAAATTTATCTTAAATTTGAAACTGAAAATCTTATCCGATATGAATAGTATTGACACGTAGGTAGGAACCCAAAAATTTATCCAAAAATATTATCAAAATTAATTATTTAAGTAAAAAAAAGGTGTGAAAAAACAAAAAAAAATGAATAGTATTTGTCATGGCATGGGCAATTGGTGGAAACACACATTGTTTTTTGTAAGGGCAGCCATTATTTATGTGAATAGTAGCTGCCCTAGCCCCCCCTTACCATGGCAAGGGGCAAACTGCCGGAAGTGCTCTAAGCAGCAACTTGGCAATTTTGCATACCCACTTGCTCCTCGCTATTCTATCCTATATTTAACTTTCTTTTTAATTAAGTGACTCATTTTTCAGGGCTCATTTACCCTCGGGAAAATTCTTTCAACCACTTCTCTCAAATCCTAGCATTGTGCACCATTTAAAAAAAAAAATTACCAGAGATATTAAGAGGGAGAATCGAACAGAGAACTTTGGATGTAAGTATTATTTAAACTACAAGTCTTTTGTCTAACATTACACACCAGTACAAAAGGGAATAAAAAAAGAACATAATGAATACATTTTTAGATTTAGGTAGAATCATTGAATTATTATATGTATTTACATACAAACTTTTAATTCCTTAAGCATTTGAGGGCGGATGATTTTATTTTCTTTCTAGGGAAATGACAATCTGTATACTAATATAGAAACCAGAAATATGGTTAACAAAGGGAACAAGTTTATGCCCCAAAAGCATGCTCAAAAAGGAAGAAAATGAGATAATACAATCCAAATCTCCACAATTGAGGCCCAAGGCCCAATTGTCCTGGTCGGAATTGACTCTGTTGTTAGCCATTGATCTACCAAACCTTTCAATTGCAAATTGCTAACCAAACTATGATGTTCATAATTTTGTGTGTGCTTTGATTTCCACTCTTCTTAACAAATCGTGTTCTTAACA